TAGATCCTACCATGTTCCCTGGTTACCAACAGAAGAACATTAACACAGGTTGTGGGTGACTGACTCGACTGCAGGTGTTCGCAAACTGGTGGGCAGACAGAACTCACACTGAAGTTTTTCCTTCCATATGGCAACAAATTTACATTTCCCTTCTTCACTTGTCAGCACTAAGTTCATGAAAATCACAGCCACCTTCATATCTCTTACCATCTCTGACAACCATCATCTCACTGTCAGTGGTGGATAAAGTTGGTCAAATTCAGAAGTTATTTTAGAGTGGAAAAAGAGGAAAAGAAGAGGCAAAAGTAGAGAAAGATCTACAAGTGAAACAACCTAATAAAGTAATAAGTTTCCTTAGAAAAAATAGGAAAAAAAAGCCACTAAATAATATCAAACATATTTCACAGAAACTCTGAAGTCATAAAAAAACGCCAATAGCTTTAAACCCACAATATTCCTTACCTAGGCTATCCTTGTGTACTTCAAGTAAAAAACCATCATGAAAATCTGGCTCACAGGCACAGGGTACGGGTTTAGAACGGAAGCGCTGGTTTCGAAAATGTAAACACAGAGTGAAAGTAGAACAGATTTGGCCAGGCAGAGGCTCCGGTTCCTGAAGATGTTCCAGAAAAGCTTTTCCACCCAAAACCTGAAGGTAAAGATACCTCCGTGTTGGGTCAATGTTAGCTGTAAAGCGTAGCAATAAAAATGAACAGACTACAAACTGATCTTAGAAAGAATGTGAAATATCAGTTAACTAACAGGAGAACAGAAAAAATAAACCCAAACTTTAAAAAAAGTATTTAGGAGAAAGCCATTTTAAAATGTATGGAAGTTATCTTAATGTAAAATAAATCACATTTTTTTAAAAAGTCACATTTTATGCAACACTAATTTCTGCTGCTTACATTAATTTACTCCCTGTAGATAAGCAGGAAAAACATCTACCTTCATGACAGTTCATACTGGATTACTAGTTCAGAGTTCAAAAATCAGAGCCTTCAGATTTCGCTCAAAACTATGATCCAAATATTAAAATGCCGGCATGTTTGTTCCTTGCGACCGTGGCGGTGGCTCCGCCAGCCCCGATTTTAAAGGCTTCACTCTGCTCATGGTAGGTCGCGCTCCTGCTCTACCCCCCACCACTCGATGGGCTTGACGGGGCACCCCGGGGTGGGCGAGGGCGCCGCGCCGCTTCTCGGGCGCTGAGGGCTTCCTTCGCTCCTTCCCTCCGCTCCGTGGGGCGCAGGCAGGGGCTCCTCGGGCTTGCTTTCCCCTGCCCCGGGGGTCGTCCCTGGGTACTTGGCTGAGGGAAAGCGGAGAGGCGCTAGGCAGGCGGTTGCAGTGCCCGTGCGTGTATCTATGTCTTATCGGATATTTTGCTAGTAAAAAAGGATTTGCAGGGGTCCTTCCCGAAACTGTTTAAGCTTAATGCCGTCTCTTCCGTTTCCGTCAATTCCTCCCTCCTCAGCCCCCCGGTTTTTGCTCCTGTCAGGCTGTTACGTGCCGAGCTATAGCTATACGCTGTCGCTCCAAGATTAAAATGCCGTATATCATTTTACAAGATTTGTAGTACCTGTGGGTTGCCACTGGACTAAAGGGTCGTTTTTTTCATTTAGATGCGATATATCGCTGTTTTCAATGACAACCCCCCTCACTTCCGCTATATTTAAACTGCGATTAGGACTGGTTAAGGAAGTGTTTTAATCACCTTCGTACATGGTATGAAATCAGTTTAAGGTAATCTACCTGAGATTATTTTGTTTATTGCGGGCTAAGAGTTCCAGTGCAGGCTTCCAAGTAGCAAACCCTTATTTTTCCTGCTAGTGAGTCTCTTTACCGTATTACTTTAAAGGTAACCTTTACCACCTTTCATGGAGGGCTGCACAGCCTGGGATGACTCTGCAGGCTCACGGGAAGTCATTCCCGATCAGCTGACTAGCCCCAGGAAACACTTCACGGCTGAGTTCTACGTCTGGGAGTAACAGGCCGTTGAAAACCAGCCAGTTTGGAGTGACAGTCTGCAAGTGCTGTTACGTCCTCTTTCACAGTGAGCTCATCAGCGCCAAATTCAGTGTTTCCGCAACTGGTGACGGCAGCAATTCGTACACACGGACTTGCTTATAAATTAGAGGGAAGCGACCGAAAATTTTACGATTGTCTTCCTGTAACAGTTTCTGAGGAAGGACACAACTCGAATTTCTCTTTCTGTGCCATCAGTAGCTGCCCTGATCAGTGATAACCCGTGGCAACTCCTATGAAATAAATCCAAGATGGTCTGTAGCATTTTCACCCTTAAAAGATGAAAAACAATTACTCTATATGAGTCAAGCTATTTACAGGCTTAATATGTAATATCAATGTTACCGTTAGGTGTCACTTGAAGCCTGCCAATCTCAGCATTAATCCTTTGAGTGACTTACCTACTCTATATCCAAAAAAAGAGGGAGAAAACAAGTTTCCGAGCCTTTATTTAAGTTTACAATGAGACAGGACTATTCACAGAAGTGGTCAGGATGTTTTTGTGGGACAGGGACCAAAGTCTCTATTAGTAATCTGTTAAGAAATAATCACCTTCGTCAGAGGATGAGCAGCCACTTATAGAAATCATGTTTAATCGGAATTGAAGTAATTTAGACTTTTCACTATTTGAAGAGCATCCTGTATTGTCCATAAACCACGCTGTAATTCAGTAACTTCTGTTGCTTTAGCCAGCAGTGTCAGTGGGAAATGTTGGTCAACTGGCAATAGATCTAGTGATTTCCACGCTTGACATGACTAAAGTTGGTTACTTCTACACTGATTGCCTCGTGCCAATGGTTGGAAATAATCCATATGCAACAGGAGAAGAAAACTCAGTGGAGCTGAGTATAAATGCTGAAGGTGAGTATTGAATGCTGATGGTATTTGGAAGCTGCATAAGGTGCAAAAATGTCACATTTACTTTTTATGTTGTTACGTTTTGCTAGTGGGAACAATGTTTAAACTAAGGTCAGTAATAACTTCAGTAATTTATGGATAAGAATGTATTTACACTTCACAGAGGAAACTGTTACTGTTGTTATTTTGGATAACCAATTTGACATCTGAAACCAGTAAGAAATGTTGAATTTCAACCATATTACAGTGCTGCCAAAACTCTCTGCAGTTTTAATCCAAAGCAACATGAAGTGTGCACATACTTACAGTAAACTGTTGGAATGCAAGCTGAATTTTTGGTGTAGAAGGATATTTATCCTCCATCCCTTTCTCTGTTGATCATTGCATTTCATTTCATCTTTTTTTACCCTCTTAAATCATAGAAATCTCACAATAATCTGTCAATCTTTGTAAAGCTACATGAAGAGATTATCTGAGTCATTACAGGAAGCAGATCTTCATATATTTTTCTTCATTCAATCCTTTAAATTTATGACAAGTGAAATTAAGTCCAATTAAGACAATGCACAAAAATATGTATTTTCAACACTGTGGATGTTGTCAGGCTTTCCCATATGAATTGATATCTGAAAGGTTTGCTAGTCTGAGGTTTGTAAATGGGATCAATCTGGATAGCTTTAAACCCAGATGTCTTGCTTTCTTCTCACAAAACTTAATTACTTCTTATTGTAGTGTATTCCTTACCTTCAAAGAAACTTGTAGTTCTGCAGATCAGATCACCTTTTATAAAGGTATGTGTGTTCACAGATCGTTCTTACTTCACTATTCAGTTTGTATAGTTCTGCTGGCAAATAGTTTAAGTGGCCCAGCAAAATAGGTGCTATAACACCTGCAGTTGATACAGTTTTAGCTAACAGAAACTGACTTCTGCATTCATTGAGGATTAAGATTTTTTTTTGGTTTTCCAAGCCCCAGAACAGCCCACCTATGTTGGTAGATTTTAGTGTAGATACCTCCTTAATTATTAACAGTCTTGAAAGTACAAAATGGTCTGGGTTTTCCTTTTTTTTTTTTCCCTTTACTTTTATTAGTTCTGTATGTTCTTTTATTACAATAACTTAATTTTAGGTGTCACTCCAATTTAATTATTTTACAGTATTCTATATTAATTTAAACTGCATTCACTATGTAAAAAATAGGAATTTAGATTTAGTCATTAACTGGACAGTGGCTGTAATTTAAAATAAGCAGAATACCATGCCAGAAGAAATTTTGTGATGCAGTTTTTAACTTCAAAGTGTGGAAAAGTGCTTTATGATCCTACCATCCCATCGTACTCTAAAGCTTTTTTACACTGGTATGAATGGCACACAAAACAAGTGGTACTGTTGTTGTTAATGGGGTCTTAATGATAATCTTTATCATTCTACGTATAGTTTTGATTAAATAAACAACCAGAGGAGTCCTCTGCTTTTTAAAAATATATGCGAAGCTGAAGACTAAATGGATATGAAGAAAAATTTACATCACTGCTAAACGTTCTATGTAACACCTAGTATTGTTGGCTTTCACCTTTTTTTTTCTAAGGACAGAATATATTTTTCACTTCTTTTCTCTGTCTTTGTATAAAGAACAAGTACAGACCATTCTGTCAAACACTGCTTTCCTGGGTAAAAAGCAGCAAATGTGCCAGAGTCGTTCTTCTGTCTAGCAGCCATGCCTACCAGTGTGATGATGAGCAACTTCTTGGGTATGTTTGTGTCGTTAAAAGACCTAATTAATGTTTCTGTGCTTATTGACAAACTGACATATTTCCCTCTACTGAATACTTTTGTCAGGGTTCTTTTGCTTGGCTGTGCTCATAGGTGATAAAATAGTTAATATATTAGAACATTATGTTCTATAGGATTAGTCTCTGAACTTTGTTAGTTACCACTTTTAAAAGTACTGAGCAAATAGTAAGCTGTGAGTAAATTGCACTTGGTTTGCACTGTCAGGCAACAGAGCCTCAGTTTTAACTTCTTCCTTTCTTGTAGCTGCAGGCAATGTCAGGGATTAGCTGCTAACATGCAGGTCACAAATTACATTTTTAATGGTTAATGAGAATATTGGTTGGTTTCTTACCTCTTCTTCATTATTCTGCATTTTGAAGGTCATCTTTAATATAGTAAGTTGTCATTCTTTTTTTTTTTTTTTTAATAGGATATTATCAATTCTTATTTGTTGGGAGGCAACTGCAAGATTCAGTCTATATATATTTTTATTAGATGTTACCCCTTAAAAATCCAAGCATTACTCGCTGATTGAGGACATCATGAACGGTGTTTTAACAAAAACAAGCAAACAAAAATCAGTATTTTTTCAGAAGACCAATTGTTACCCTCAGGCTGTATAAATGTGTACAGCCTTAAAGGAGGTTTAGGTCCGTGCAGGTCCCAGATATAGTTACCAGTAATATCTGCATACAGTTGCAGAATGGCCAGCTGGCATGGAATGAAATGAGAGAACTAATGATTATTCAATGTGATCTGAGTCATAAGTTGCGGTGATTTAACCCCCCTGCCTCCCTCGGCACCACAGAATACCTCTTATAGCAGATTTACTAAAGAGCAAGGGTAGTGCATTCAGAAAATACTTAGACTTGACTAAAGTCTGCATGTACTTGTAGTGTGAGCTTATTAAAAATACTGCATCATGGTGAAGTCAAAGTTTGCCCTAACAAAAGCACATTTTATTTGTAAATCATTTTAACAACTATAAGCAGTTCTTCAATTTATGTGCTTATGTATCTGGTACTTGCTAGTTATTTGAGCCTCTGAAACGTGGGTACTTTCGTTCTCTTTGTGGCAGAAAGTGTTCAATAGTTTGTACTGTTTTGAGGCCACAGGCTACTTTTTTTAACTTTGATTTGAGAAGGAAGGGAATGTCAGTGCTACTCTTCATTGCAGGTGTGAGGTGTGAATGCTTGCAGCTTCTTTCTGTCACAAGTGGTAACACTGGTGTAGTGTCTTTTGTTGTCAGACTATTCTTGATTCGTTTCTAGGACACCTTTACGCTACCTACTTACACCTGATCTTGAGAAAGCAGTGGGAGGTCTTGTACAGGAGCTAAACTGGAAAGAAATGGAAAAAGTAACAGCTTACCCTGGAATAAATGATACAGAAAAAGTTCTACATATTCCTGGAGGTGGCATCACAAAAATGTTGTTTACCGAGAGGTGAGTTGCCTCAAGATAAGTACAGAAAGATATCAGAAGTCTTGGTTTTAGTACATGGGTAAAATTATCTTTTAAACTGCTGTCTTGTAGGAAAAGTTCCTCTTTTAATAGAAAAGGATTTCATAGGAATAGAACTTCTTCCAGATCCAGATTCAATAGGGAATTCCTCATCATGAAGTTAAAATATGATAAAAATATATGTGAGCTAAAGGAAAATAACAAAGCCTTTACAGTTGAGATCATGATTAATCTGATATCTGATTTTATTCAGACTGCAACTTGTAAATAGTAAAACTCCTGTACCTGTGATACTTTGACTAAAACTGTTTCCTGTGACAACTAGTTCCATCATCAGTTGTTTAAAAAAAACAAAAAAAAGATAAAATTCTGGTGGCTAAGAATGAGTTAAGATTTCGGGGCAAATTAGATGTGGGGATTTTGTTAAAAGGTGCATGCATCAGAAATTTTGCTGAAAGCATGTCTGAGCTTCAAATTTTGGATAATAATATTATTGTACAGCTGTGTTAGCTCTGCAAAAGGTGTTTGTTTTGTAAATGTCAGGTGGAAAATTCACTTATATTTTTTTTAGCTATTGCTTTTGACACCTGTCCAAACTGTTGCATCCAACAGCCGGAGAGTTACTAATACCATGCTTACCTTTGCACTGACTTCAGTATGGAAACAATATACAAATGCAAAACAAAAGACCTCCCAGGACTTTAGGAAAAAAAAATAAAATAACCATCTTCATATCTAAATGAAAAAATGGGAATATTGTGAGTAAAGCAGTGATCTGCAGCCTGCCAAAGTGCTGTTTGAAGTACACAGAAAAAAAAGGAGTGATTGTATCAAAGGATCTGTATAAATGCAAACTACGTATGTAAAAGAGGCCCTGAGTAACTCTTCCATGACCTAGGATTCCTGCCTCACAAAGCAAAGAAGAAATGCGAGACTAAGAAAAATAACATGAAGTATGCAAATGTAATCAAGGAAGTATGAAGAGGAAAACAAATACCTATATGTATGTGCATAGATTTTTACTTTTTGTTTGGTTTGCGGGTTTTTAACAAGCCATATGCAGGTTGTTATTGCTCTTAATACTTAAATATAATTGTTCTGTATTTAGAAAAGAAGTAGAAATGCCTGCTCATTTTTGTTGCAGCTGTTCAAAAGGAGTGCAAATGGCAGTTCTTCTGAAATTCTGCTCAGAAGGGGACAACATCCCTGATGCATTTGCTCTTATTAACTATCTTAATGAATGGCTTCGGCTAATTAAAAGTGAAGTAAGTGCTGTTTGATCTAGAGTTCTTCCTTTCATATTTTATATATGTTATTTTCATTTTTCTTCAATTATGGAACATAAAGAATATTACTCAGCTGAATTTTAGAAAAGTTTAAAATGTTATGGGTTGGATTTGTTTTGGCCCTTAATCATCAAGGATATGCCAAATTGAAGATATATTTTGATTAAAATCTCACCTGAAAAACCAAACCTAAATAGCAGTTCTTTTGTCTGAGGGGTGGGGGGAAATTGTGTAAAGGTTTGATCAAGTTCAAGCTTCCATTGCTCTTCTCTAAAGCAACCCACAATGATACTGACACTTGAAATGCTGCCCATTATTTTAATACGTGTGCCAGAGCTACAATGACATCATTACTATTTAAACTTATTAATTACTCTGGTTTTGTTGCAGAGCAATAATTCCACAGATACTTCTTCACAATGGAAAATACCAAGTTCTTGGCGCTTACTTTTTGGCAACGGTCTTCCACCTGCACTCTTCTGATCAGTTTTGAATTCTTCTGTAAGTCACGTATGCAGTCTCAAACAGCCCTTGCGAAGGTAATTACATAGTAATTGCCAAGCAACAGCGGCTTACTTTGTCTCTATACGTTTTTTATTTAAGAACAATTCCTTTCACATGTGTGGGTAGCTAAAGAAATTAAGGTAACTTTTACAAATTGACCAAAGAAATATGTTTTGTACAGTTGCTTATTGAATAACTTTGGTTGACTGTTTGTTCTAATAAAACATTTTTTAAAAAACCTTTTTCTTTGGTTAAGTGTTACTTCTATGGAAAAGCTTATGGTGCACCTTCTTAATATAGCTGAGAACTTGAGACTGATGTGCAGGCATAGATTTTTTTTTTTTTTTATGAGGATAAAACCCTGCTCTTCCATATCAACTGTGGATCTTTGGTTTTTTCAGAACCTTCCTGGTGATAGCAGTGAAGATCAGTAGTGATCTAGTTCTGCCTTCTTTTCCCAGTGCTGTCATGGTAGCTTCAGCTGGGGAAACTGCCAGCAATAGAGCAGCCTGTTCTATCTTTTCTGGCCTACCTCCATTTATAACTTCCCTTCTGCTTCCAAGGACTGCAGAGATACTAAAACTAAAGCTTTCTAGGAAGATGAGCCTTCTTAGACTAATTTGAGGATGAATACAGTGCTCTGAAATACAAAGGAATTAGAGCATTGCCCCAATAGCAGGCAGTCTCCTATCTGTATATTTTGTAAGCTTAGTCTGAGACACCAGCTGTGCGATGCGTAATTTGTGTGTTTAATTTAGTTTGTAATGGTACCTGCTGCGTTATTAAGCTACATGTTCCATCTTTTGGAAGTGCTTGGTCACATCAGCTTATTTAGAAGTAACTTTAAATCTAGAATTTCAAAGTTACAGCTTATGTATTAAGAGGCATTGACGTATATACAGGGTATAATTTTAAATACTTAGTCTGCTAAATAGATTCTTTTTTTTTTTTTGTTTGGTGTTTTTGATGATGGTATTGTCATGCCAGTAGTATAAACGATTCGGATAGGAACAGCAATGGTCCTGAAGAGATCTGTTAAAGGTGCAGGAATAAGATTCAGTAGTCAGCTTCACTTGAAAACTTGTGCATATTGGTAGAGAAAAGCAGTTAGTGAATGTGACTGCTCACCCAAAGCTTGCCATATTGTTTGTCTGTTTGTATTAGAAAGTTTGAGATGAGAATCACAGTGAATGCCTGTCCCATAAGACAAATACTGGCATGAATATTCAGTTGCTGTTCTTTTTCCACAAAACAATAAGAAATTTAAGTGTTTCCTAGTCTTAAATCTGTTTTGCAGGAGATAATGCAGGGCAAACTGAACCTTGGAGAACTGGTGTGTGCAGCAAATGCTTCATATAATTGTATGTCCAAATACCTTCAGATAATACCATAAAAGGTAGGCAGTCTCAAGTTAAATACTGTATTTGAATCAGTCACAAACCTAGATATGTGTAGAACAGTGTGAGTGTGAACATTGCTGCTGGCATTAGGAGAACTGAAAAGGCTTCACAATTAATTACATCTGCAGTGGTGGGTTTTTTTTGTTTGTTTTATAAATGTTTGAATTGTATTAACACTAATGCTTCTTAGAACTAAATACCATGCTAGAAATGTAAAGTAATCCTTTGCTCATATTAATAAGCTTTACAGTGGTAATGCATGAAGATGCCACGTTTCATGAAGATGTCATGTTTTATGGTGTAAAAAATGAGCTGTGAATAGATTTAAAGCATTCAGGCATGACTGATGTGCCTGTGATTGTGAATCAAAAGAAACTTGCAAGCTGCAACCAAAAGTTGAACCAAATAACATGGCTGAAAAGATCGCATTAGTCTGAGCTCAGAGATTTATTTTGGCTCATGGTCTTGTTTTATAAGAAGCTTGACTTCCTATAGGTTAAGTGGAAAGCTAAACTCTCTGCAGCCTGCCTTCATATAGATCCCATCATGGTGATACTTCCTGCTTGCAAACACTGTTTATTAAAATTTTGCATTTTTAAAAAAAGACTAATGACCTAAATATTCTTCTGATGCTATTCTTCATTGCAATGGATTCTGATTCTCTGTGAGTGTAACACATCACCTGTAACTGGACAGTAATGAGCACAGAGAGATTTGGTAACTGCTACAAGTGTAATTTACTGCTGTACATTAGTTTGGAAAGCTGAACCTGCCAAGCTGGTTGAAAACTTTGCCTCGAACCAGTAAATACTGAGAGAGCTTCTTGACTTTAAGCACACAGTTCTGTGTAAATCACAAGAATTACTTGTGTGTTCTTGTGCATTGCTAAATCTGGAACTGAGTGTTCATTTTCCTTGATTAGAATCTGACCTTCTTAAAAGTCAGAAGTTGAAGTTGATCGTGGCCCTGGTTTTTAGACCTGAAAAGCAGCTGGGTGTATCAGGTTTACCAGTAAAATCATCAGGTGACCTTAGAAGAAAGGTGTAGGAAATGCTCAGTTCTCCCCTGCACTGACTCCTCTGCACGCTCTAATGGCCGTGTTTGGTCTGAGGTGGGGCTTTGCTGATGTACTAGAGAACAGCTCAAGAAAGAATGGCCAGCAGGTCGAACATTCTCATCCTATGAACACAATCTTTGTTACTTTAGAAGGGTGGACGGATGTGGGTATGAAGAATATTTGAACTGACAGCTGCTACATGAAATGGTGGCTTTAATTTAAAGGGGGCAAAATATTTAACATGAGGAGTTTCGTTGGAATTGCTGAGCAAACCAGCGTGATGGAGGTGGCTATTTAAATCAGCTGTACCTTCTTGAAGCTTTCCCAAGGTGAAAACTTCAGAAAGAAGGGGATGAACCGCCAACCTCTGCATTGCCTCAATGTAGGTCCTTCTAGTAGATGAGCACGGGGTATATTCCTGCATTTGTGCAGGGCTCAGACAATTCCAGCTGTAAAGAATGAGTCTGGAAGGAATTTCTTCTATCACAGAGACTGGCAAGGTACTGAACAGTGCCCATCAAAGAGCCAGCTCTTCAACCAGGGCTTGCATGTTGCACATCCAGCTATTAGAAACAGCTACAGATGCACTGGAGCAGCTTCATGAGGCTCTTCCAACCATCACAGGATGGTGGTGTGGGGAAAAAAGGGATTATCAACAGGCACAAGCTTTTTACATTTCTTGGGAAGAGGGTGTTGTTTTTTTGGGACATCTTTGTTGGCTTTATTTAAATAAGCTGATTGTATAAGCTTTATTTATTTGGCTCTGTTTAGGTACTTTGTTCCTTTGGGATCAAATTAACTGCTTCATTTAGACCTATTCACAAGTCTCATTATCATTATTCTAACACCTGTGAATTTCAGCCAGCTGCAGTAGACTTACTATCTCTGCCATCTGCAGCCTGGTGTTCTAGATGATGCTCAGTACTTGCAAACAGGTTGTGGAGTACATGTGTTGCAACTAAGGAGTCAATTTGCATAAAGCCTCAGAGTTTAAATAACTTGCCACATACAAATAGCAAGCCCAAACAGGGTTTGCTGCAGCTGTTTGGCCCAGGCATGGAATTTTGTTCAAGAGCCAGAGTATACCGTGCAGATCCAAAATGTACAAGGTACTAAAAACACTAGAAATAGTGCAGACAACCTCTGTGGTTTTTAAATTATACAGCTTTACCCTTCTGATTTTTAAAAATTTATCTGGGCAATAAGCAGCATTGCTTGGGCATCCACAGAAAGGTAGAAAAATTTGTATTTATTGGTTGTATTAATCAGGATGCAGGCTGATATATGCCCAGCAGCATTTGGGAAGCTACAGTTCAGAAGTATTTCACTGCAAAACTATATTAATCAAAATCAAAGCAGCTATGATAGAATAAATTTCAGTCAAAATTAGTATGGCTTGGAACAAGAAGTGGTGATAAAAAGCTAGAGGAGGAAAAACAGGGATTCTGAAGCAACAGCAAAGGAGTGTTTGAGCACAGCAAAGAGGCATTCAGAATTTTTGAGGCATGTGAGTTGTTTTTTCTTTACTTTGGCCGATTACAGATAAAGATGCAATTTCTCATGAAAATATTCTTGCAAACAGCTTAAACATAGTAATTTTTATTATTGTCATTTTGGCTAAACCAGTACTTTTGGCTAAACTGGTACTTATGTTGCAAACATCTTAGGAAAATATATCTGCTGGATAATGACAGAATACATAGTTTAGTGCTTTTTTTTTTTTTAACCAAGATCAAGGCTTATTTAAAAAAAAAAAAAAACTCAACTGTTTGCAATGAGAACAATGCAATTAATGAGTGCAAGCCAACCAAGATTCTTTACACTCTCCGAGTGTTTCAAAATACAAGATCTGCTGGTAGTCCCTTAGGATTTGTGTGCTCTGGCTGGTTGCTGCACTACCCACCTCCTCTGGAGGTTAACAGGAATTCGGGCTGAAACGTTGGTTTCAGAGAAGTGGCTGCCCTACCACCTGCTGTTCCTTCGGTAGTTACACATCTGAAGAAAATCTGTTCATGCACTGAGAGAATACAATCCTGTGTGACAGCACCAGGCAAGTTTCAATTTCTAACACCATGGCAAGATCCCCAAGAAAACAGAGTAGCACTTGAATGTGTTTTAACTGAAAAGCACCATCGTGTAGTTAACTAGCAGTAGCTAGAGTAGCTTTCCTACCCCTTTTCCTTAAGATATTCTACCTTTTCATCTAAATCTTGCAATAAAGTTGTGAGAAAGGCAGGCAAGGGGAAATACAAAATTCAGATTTGTTGGTCTTATTCTCTACTCTTATTCATTGGACTGACTGTGACCTTTATATCCATGCTGGTCCTGAGCAGTGTTCCAGCAATGGCATCTCTTTTCAGCTATTAACAGGCAATATGAAGCACGAAATCTAGTATTTGTAAGCAGTCAGAAGTTCTTGAAGGCTTAGAGATAGAAAAATTCCAAGAACTTAAGTTCCTGCAATTTTGATCATTGTTAGCTCTTCTAATATCCTGCCCACTCTCTAAAGTTACAATGAACTCCACGCTCAAACTTGCATCAGCCTTCTCTTCCTGGGTTTGGTTTCTGGGCTGTCACACTGCAGTCTCTCCCTCTGGAGTGCACAGGACCTCAAAACAAGGGTGAGCTGAATTACTGTGTCCTCCAACTAGGAGTTTGCTCCTAGGGCATGGATGGGTGGTCTTAGCCAGCCAGATACCTTGACTTACCTCCACTGGAGATTCATGGCTGTAGAAATGATTCCTTAGGGCACTCTCCAGATAAGGAAGGAGCAGTACACAACTGATCGCTATACTGCAGGAAAGTCTGCTCGGAGGCTTGGGTTATAAGATAGGCACTGGTAGTAAAGATGAAGCCTGACCATTCCAGACAGGCCACAGACTTTTGTTTTTTAACACAATCCTGAAAAATAGCCCTGTGGCAGAAAAAAAAATTTAAGATTCCCCAGAGCAATGCTCATTATTTAAAAAATCCAGGTCTGAATTGTGGTATCTGCTATCTGATGCTTAACTACAACTCCTAAGCACTTACCCTAACACAGCCTGACTGCTGCACCCTCCTTGCCTGCCTGCCCCTTCATATACCAAAACCTTGCTGCAGAACAAGGTCACAGTTTCATCCTCCTGTTAAGATGACTAGCAAAACCACAAAGCACGTACCTCTGCAACATTGCTCCTGAGGATGGAAAAAAAAAAATATGGCAGCCAGTAAATTATAGCTTTTTCATTTAAAAATCTGCAAGTCTATGATTCTTCTAACCCCATTTCTTTCAAGGCTGCAATTACATGCTCCATTGTCATTTGTTTCAGAAATCAGCCTCTCCCTTTCCTTCACCTTTTAAAATACACTCCCAGTAGCAGTCAAGAATTGTGGCTTTGTGTAGAAATAACAAAACAAGTGCATATGTCAGGAGTCCCTGCGCCAGTGAGCTGACTTCTGCTGTCACAAGGCAGCCCTCAATAAAACCTGACAAAGCTCAGTGCGTGAAACTACTCCATCTTTAATCCCCTTTGCCTATTCATCGGTACGCTGCCAAAGTTAGTCCAGCAGCTCAGAAGATGAAAACTATTTTAAAAACAAGAGCTACCAGCATTTTGATGAGTCCACTCTGCAACAAGGGTCAAAGTACATTTAGCTCTCTACACCCCACCGGATAACACAAATTAGTCACATATTTGATCATTAGCAGCAAATAAAACAAGTGAAGCATGTGCACATCTCCAGTAGTCATACACCTTATGCTTATTCTCAATTCCAAAAGGACAAACATAATGAAACCCTAAATCATGGCTAAAAGGCATGAACTGCTGCATTGAAGACATATCAATCGGCATAGACAGGCTCCATTCCTGTACTGGAACAAGAGGGTTTATTGCAGTCGTTTTGACAGACCATGATGTCCCATATAAACACTCCTGGTCTCACAGCTGCACCAACTTAAAAATGAAAGCTGAAGCAAGCTGTGATGTCATTTTCTCCTCCAGCATAGGCTAGGAACAATACTAAACATATAAAGAAATTAAAATACTTAGGCAAACCAGACTCTGGTGATTTAAACTATTTCAAGATAGTGCCAAGCACAATACTTAGCTCAAGTAATGTCATTAAGTAGTGCCTTGATTCAGCTTCACCTTCAAGTTAAACACAACTCCGAGTACAGTTGCCTTCATGAATGAGCCTCGAAACCAAGTTAGGATTTCAGGTTACTGCTTATTTCAGCAAAATCTGCCTTAAGTGGCCTAGACATCCCCCCTCTTCCATGCTTTACTTGCAGCAACTCTATAATTTGTACAAAACCTGATACAAAAATATGCAGAGTACAAATTACATATAAAACCCCACCACGTTGTAGTTTAGACAATCATGTTAAAGATAGGTTTTTGGTGAATTAAGGTTTATCTGAAACTGTTGAAGAACATCAGCAAGCACAGAGTTGAGATCAGCTGTTACAGCAGGCGCAGGGCTGGAAACCCTGTTGAGTCCCGTAAGCACCATTCCAGCCTGCCCCCTTCCAATCCTGCTGCGCAGACTGGCAGGAGAAAGGTGACAAGAGGGGAGAAGTGAAGTAAAATACCATACATACAACACACTGCAATGGCACAGTCCAAAACCCATTTAATTAGAGACACCACTGACGTTGTGCGCTTTGCACCTGGCCCTCAGCATCCGTTAATTATGTATGACCATGGGCAGTGAGAGGTCAGCTTTCCCACTGTTCCCCTCCTTTAAAACATCACCAACAAAACACCTTCCTTTCACAAAGTGACTCTCTTGTGCATATTTCGTAGCAAACATCAGAAGGATTAACAAACCAACTGGTCAGATTAATAAAATAATATTCTTAGTGGTGTATTACAAAAGAAATGTGCAAGAGTTCCTCCTAGCTCAAACTACAATACTCAGCATCAATTAAAATATTTGCATAAAGCACATTCTAATCTTTTTGCCATTTTCCAGTTAAGACAGTATAGCAGGAAACCTTAAGGTAAAACATTTTCCACAAAACAGGCTCTTAACAGTTTCTGCCTAACATAATGCGCACACAACCGTGTATTGTCAATTTAAAAAAATATTTAATGCTGCCAAAAAGTATAAAAATACAATAAGAATGGCAGTACAAAACAAAATATTTCCTAATTTATTTCTTTTACATCTTTCTACAGTAATACCGGCATTATAAAAACACAAGATGGCAAATTATTTTGTTTTGCAAAGTGGCACGCTGCTGGTGGTCTTCATCCCCTCGATGCAGTTTACGCTGTAAACAGATAACTGAGGTCTTCTTGGTACTTAACAGACCTCACTTTTTGTTCCCGAAGAGGGGTTCATGTCTCGCTTTGCATGTCAATAATTTGCAGTTTATAGCTGCAGAATATTCACAAGTCTTGAAGGCTTAGGTGTCAGTCAGTCTCGGCCTGCGACACACAACGCAAAAGAAAGTCACCGATTCAGTACACAGTACAGAAAAAAAAAAATAAGAACAGACAACGGGTTTGCAATTCACTATAAACACCAACAGCTTCTCATGCATTCTCTGTGGCAACTACTGCCTACTGTTTGCCTGCAGCAAGGGCTCTTGGAAAGCCGTTGCTTTTTCAGAGGTATTTCCATATTATTCTATAAGACACATGCCTGCTGGAGAGCTTCACATATAGGCCTCAGTCCAGCAAGCCACTACTCTTGGGCACTTAACCACAAACACTGCAGAAGTCATCTTGGGCCCTGGTGGGACTACAGAAGGCTGCATCTCTCAACACTAACATCCCCTCTCATGGCTTTGTAGGCCAGTCCTGGCACAGCAGCATGGAAATGTTTCTAGCCAAAGGTTTCTCATAGCAAGGAAGACATCCCAACACTGGGCATTTTGTTCTTAGGGAAGATAAAGCTCTACTCTGAAGAACACAGAAAAAGACCTCGGTACTCACAAGCTACTACAAGTAAAACACTTCTAAATTCTGCAAGCACTACACTGATTTATAATGCAGCATTCTTTGATCAAAGACACATTAAAAATTTCTTCCAAGTATTTATCCTTCCAATTTAAAGAAAGACTCAGACAGAGGTGCAATTTTGAACACATTTATTTTTCATACATAAAAATGAAAGACTGACCTAAAGCTTCAGGGGAAAACAAAAAAAGCCCAGGAAGACTACTGCATGTTATGTCAACTTTGCAAATTTCATCCTGACTTAAGCCACTCGGCCATGCAGAAGACTTCCTCTTCTGTCAGCATTAATTTAGTTTCTTGTGCAGTCCTCAAATGACTCAGGTTTAACTGTAACGCCAAACAGCAAACTAAATAATTTGGTTAACATTCATTAAACTTAAAGCCAGCCAGGCTTTTTAATTGCCTGCACAATCCAGTCACACATACATGTATACACATTTACACCTCTTCCCTTTTCAGTGGGATATAAATTGATGACAGTAAATCATTTCACTCAAGGTTTTACAAAATAAGCTAATTTTTCACTTGCAACATCTTACTTCCATAGAATCAGTCCGTAATGTTTTTCCAATCACTATTTCATGCTGCATTCAATTATTTCACTTGATACATTTCAAGAAAAATACAGAGGTACCGTCACTCTAAGTGGACTGTCCCTGCACCAAGAACATAAACAGAAAACCTAAAGGACTAATTCCTAATTTGCAAGACCCTTGCAACAGAGGTCCAAATGTTTGTTACTGATTATTTTTTTTTTAATAAAAACAGGCATGATTTGTACAGAAGTGTTCATCTGAGGGTCAAACATTGTTTAATCAAATTCAAGGAAGTCCACTATGCATCAAATACTTTGACTGACTTATTTCCAGAACAGAGGGAAAAACCCAACACAGTAACACTTTGAATCGAGTGCAACAGCATTTTAGAAGCAGCACAGGACCAGCCAGTAGCTTGCCAGAAACTTGGGGGGGGGGGGGGGGGGGGGGGGGGGATGGGAAACTGTTGGC